CATTCTCTGACATTTTCTGAACTTTACATGCTAAATTTATAACTCGATATTTGATCGTGCGTAATGTCACGTTAACTAGCGGTTACACGTGAGAATCTTGATCTCGCGTGAGAAAGCGATATAAAACTAAATCGCGAACATCGTTCTGCTATATATAAACTATTTATTATCTCGCACGAGGTTTTTCGACGAAAAGGAACCATGATAATATTTTACAATTTTTAATCGCGATATCTCTACTCGGCTACGAGAATATATAATATTATCTTTTCTATCTTTCCATTTCATTACGATTAGTCAAGATCGTTAATTACTTGAAATCTCTTGCTCGTAAAATCATTCTATATTTCTTCTTCTTATTCTTCTTCTTCTTGACACGTTGAAAAAGATAAAATTCAAAATCTAGGACCAACGCTATTGAAAATTTAGGTTGCAATCCTTAACTGAATTTTGGAAAGTCGCAGAAATTATAGGAAAATTAAACAGTTCTTGGATGCGAGTATAATCGTATGAATTTTATTTATTATAGTAGCGTATCAAAACCACCCCTGAAGTAATCTTCACATATTATATTGAAACACTCCGTATATACGTAAGGTTTCATTCATTATTAATACTGGGACTTGACACAACTGCAAAAGTACGTACGTGATCGAGTTGAAAATATCGAAGAGAAAAAAAACATGAGATAAATAAAAAAGATGGCATCCTCTTCTTCCATCATTTAAGTCATTTCAAGATATCACCCCTCTTCCTCTTTCTTTATCGTCGAGAAATACGGCAAACGTTAATACCTGTAACAGAAATAAAAAAAAGAACGATTAGATGAGTGTACCCGTGTTCAAGGTCATCTAAAGTGCATTTTTCATTTGCATTGAAAATTCTTTTCGAGATTCGACATATGATATTTATGTAAATATATGTGTCATTTATATTCATGTAATTCTAAATAAAAATGTCTGTCTCGTGTTTGATTTCAGTCAGTTTAATGATAAGTTAGCATCGAACAGGAAATGACGTAAGAAAAAGTAACACGATTTACAATCGACCACCATTATCATTTTATTTAGGTATCATTAAGTTGATGTAATTAACGAACGATGAGTAGCACCACACGCATAGACTCGTAATGATTTTACGAGGACGTGATTAACGATCGGTTATCAATGCGAATGCATTCTATTTTAATAGGAATGTATAATGGGATACCTACGTCGATGAGAAATGGGAATTTGTGAAAATCCTAGTTCGAGGTCAGATTGTGTTATCATTTATATTAAAATATAAAGACCAATGGTTTGTCATCATAGCGATGATTAACGACCACTCGTCGCACGATGAAAGATACTTTCGGCAGAAAGAAATTGGCAAAGTAAACGAGGAAAATGTGTATAAATGAATTTCATCGGTATACCCCTGCAGTCTCTTTATATACGAAAATTATTTCTTCGGCATACTATCTTTATTCATCGGGGGGGAATAAAACTATTTTAACAAAATACGAAAACAAAAATAAATTTTCTTTGTTATAAATATTGATATTGCGATCCACAACAAAATGATTATTATTATCATTATAATTGGTAAAACAATACAAGTTAAATCGATGCATAGTAAAATTATGAAAAATCATAAAAAGATAAGAAAAAAACAACAATGTTTTTTATGTAAATTGAAAGGAACAGGTATAAATAACGCATACATAAATTATCTTTTCCTTTCTTACTCTATTTGAAATGTAAACAAAAATAATGTAGATCAAGGATCGAGCATATTCGCAAACTTTATCGTCTTGTCTACGAAAAATTGTTTTACCTTCATAGTAAAGGAAGAAAAAAGAATGATCGCGGAAAGGGAATAGAAAGAGAAAAAGAAAAGAGAGAGAGAAAGGGAAGCAGAGAAACGCGAAACTTTCGTTGCACCTGCCACATTTCAACCCCTTTTTTGCTTTCCTTCTATTCCCGTTCTCGGAACCCTCTCCTCTCCTCTCCTCTATTTCTCTGCTTTCTCATGGGTTTCTCTCTCTTTCGGTCTCGACGCACCCCCGACCCTCGGCAAAGTGGAAAATCTCTTTTGTAAGCCGGTGCATGTTTCCGCTTCTCTTGCTCGCTTATTTTAATATTTGAGCAGGCAAGCAGCTTCCATGGAAAAAGCGTTGAAAGCACCGCTAAAAGGGACTTTGAGCATGTCTTCAACGATGCCCGAGTATACTTCTCCTCCTACACACCCATCTACCTACCCACGAACCCCGCCCCCCTCTCTTCCTCCCACACCCCCCTTGCTACCATAGGAGAGCACTCGCGCGCGCGTAAATGCGCGCACGTGGCGTAGTACGGGGTTGTCGCGCGTAATCCAGAATTTATGGAAACGAGGTCGTAACTTGCCTCGGCCAAAGTCGAAGCTCTTTTTACCAGGTTTTCTCTCTCTCTCTCTCTCTCTCTCTCTCTCTCTCTCTGTGTGTTTTTTTCTTTACTTTTTCTCTTGACTCCACTCTCTCGCCACGGATCGCAACTTTTTTCTTAACTTAGTTGAGTAGTATTCGCTATTTCTAGAAAAAAAAAAAAAGAAAAAAAGAAAATATTACGATTCGTGATCCCCTCTTGGGGTGACGCTCATTTTTTTCCTTTTATTTCCTTCCTCTTGATGTTATTATTTTCTTTTTTAAGAAATTTAAAAAATATAAATGAATGAATAGGAGAAAATAGTGCGAACGCGCGGTGAAATTTTTTACAAGTTTTTGTTTTATGCCCCACTCGGAATGCTTTTCCTTTTCTTCTTTTTTTTTTTTATAATGAATAGAATTATTTGAAGAATATTTTTTCTATATTTTTGGAATGATAATTTTATCTAAATGTTTGTAATATCACGTTTGTAAGAACTTTTGGTAAACTGGAATTCCTGTATATTATTATAAAGATAGAACTACATTATTCTCGCAAAACTTGGAAGAACATACAACGAGAACTTCCTGAAAATCTCTCGCAAATGAATTACTTTCTTCACTTTGGTAGCAGAAGTTAGGCATTTTGTGGCCCATTACAAATTTAACACAATCCAATTAGGAAACAGCACATCCATTATGGCGAATAGAAACATCTTCATTTACGATAACATTCATACTCTCTATTATCAAAGTTTCTTTTATGTATATTACGTAAAAAGATTTACGTAATATATTAAATATAGAAATTAAAATATTTTGATGAAACATTAAATTTTTGTAGATATTAAAAAACAATGAAATAAAATGTTAAAAAATGTTTAACTGGAAAGTTACTTGCCGTTACACAAGGGTTAAGAATAATTGAACGAGAATTTGATATACTCAAGAGTATATTCGTAAGATATTATCGTGAAAATTCGTTAGTGGGTAAGAGTTGAATCCAAATTACAAGATGCTAATTGGTAAACGAGGGAAGTATACCAGATTCAGCCTAGCTTATCCCCCTTTTGCCTTTTGAAATCATATAGCCTCTTCTTCTCTTCATCTTAGCTTTTAAACTCACTCCAATCCTTCCTTCCTTCCTTCCTTCCTTCCTTCCTGACTGGTAAAACAACTGAATATTCAAAGTTAGTCGCGGGAAGAAAGTACGATAAAGGTGAAGTCGAGCATCGTTGTTTCTTCGAAATGAAACGAAGGGAAAGTAAAGATGAAGAGGGCTCAGAAGTTCCAACGATTTAATAATAGCCAAAGAACTTTCGAAAATCCCTCCTCGATAAACCTTTCTACGCTCGGTTTAATCGCCGATCGATTTTAATTTGTCTCCTTCCATGCACACCACCGAATTTATACTTTTCATTTTTTCCAAATAATTTGAAGAATAATTAAGATTGTCTACTAATTCTCGAAATGATCGAAAACATTATTTAAACGCCGAACGAATCATACAATTTGTCTTTATCCAAATAAAATGTATTTAATAAATATACAAAATATTTAATTAAATAATAAAACTCATGTGTGCATTATAGAAAAATAATCAAATTATTACGTCATTAGTAAGCTAAATAAAAAATATTTAATAATATTAAAACAACAATGAATATAAAATATAATCTAATATCTAATAGAAATAAAGTTAACTTGACATTAAAAACAACAAATTTCGTAATAAAATTCACTTAATTTTGGATCATTGATAACTACCTTCCACATACCTAGCTTAATTGTTTCTAATTAAAAAAGAAAAAAAAAAAAAAAGAAATGAAAGAAAAATAAATGATAATTTATGAAATACAACATTTACATAATGATGCAAGAAAAAGAATGTGAGCAAAGAAAGAAGAAGAAGAAAAAAAAAGAACAATGTTTATTTTAACGTAACGATTCGTTTTTTCGACTCCTCGGTATACCTGGAGGCAGGTGATTTATTTCGGCAACTTCCGGCAGGCGATTAGTCGGTCGATTTCGTCTAATAACCACAAAAGATCTCTCGGTTGTAACCTTTCCTCATTCTTTCTCCCTTTCGTTCCTTGGGACCGTGACTACTCCTTCGAAGAGAAGCCGAGTACAAAGAAAAGGTGAACCCTCGAAAAAGAAAAGTTAATACTGCGGTCTACGATCCATTATTTTTCTCTTTTTATTTTTCTTTCTCCCTATCGAATTACTAAACTCACGAGGACGATCTTTTCTGAAGTCGTAAAGTTAATCGTGTTCCCTCCGTGACGACAACGCCGTAGACCATCGAATACAACCAATCTCACTTTTTATATTTCTCATCTTATATATTTAATAGTTACAATCTCGATATAATAAATTTTAATCTAACTAAATTATATACAAATATTTTCCTAAATATTAACAAATATCAATAAAAAAAAGATAATATCGTTAACGTTCAATCGAAAATAACACTAAACAACATTTATGTTAATCCAAATTATAGCTCGTCAAATAAATTAATAATAAAGAGAGGGACAAAAATTAGGATTGCAAAAAGTATGCTTTTTCGTTGAATATTTTCACACACATGCTACTAATACAATTTTCAAAAATAAAGATGAAAAAATACAATGACTAATTTTTATCTGAACGTAGACGACATGAATGGTACAAAGTTGTATTTCGGAAAAAGTTACAAAATGTAATACACGGTTCGTGGAATAATCGTTGGTCGCGCAAAAGTATTGTATGCAATGAGTTCGAGAAAAAAAAACCTGATTAAAAATAATACCTTTCCTTGTCATTGGAACTTCTCTTTTTTTTTTTTTTTATTAAAACAGAGGAAAAATTTTCTGAATATGGAATGGGATACAGGAATAAGAGACCGCGAGTTCTCGGTTTGCTACTATTAAAGTTACGCACCATGGATAAAAGAACTCGACGAGAAGGGATCGTAAGAAAATGTTCGAAACAGCCAGTTATATTATCCCAACGCGAGAACACGCATCTCGTTAAGCGAAAACAAGCGCTGTAAAAGGTAGGTGGTGGTGGTGGTGGTGGTTGTTGTATGCAGGAGCCACCACCTTACCGATTCTTCAGTATGAAGCCCTAAAAAGTTAAGCACCGAAGGCTTCGAAAGAAGGATACGAGAAGAAAATAGTTTCTTAAATCGCCATAAAAACGTTTTGAAGAAGCGAAAAGATATTAGAAAGGAAAAAGAGACAGAAATAAGGCACGTTATTTCACGTTGAAACTACGGTGAGGGTAGGGGGGAGGGGGAATTTATGAGCGACTATTTAAATGATAAGTATTAAATAATACTATCTCGCACGCGGAAAATGGCTAACTTTTTACGAATATTCTACCACCCTCTCTCTCTCTCTCTCTCTCTTTCTAATCTTTATTCCAATA